TCATGTTTTCCCCGCTGGTTCACTCATTAGTTTCAGAGGAGAAGGGATATGGGGAGGAAATCTTTTGAGATATTGCATGCCTGAATAGGACTTTATCTTCCTTTATCTTTGACTGACAGTATGAATAGGTATAGAATTCTAGGTTGAAATAATCTTTTCTCAGAATTTTGATAGTTTTGTCCTATTATCTCCCTGGTTCAGAGTTGCTGTTGAACATCAGATTCCATTCTAGTTCTTTTTAAATTTTATTTTTTATTGAAGTGTAGTTGATGACCGGGATGGGGAATACATGTAAAAAAAAAAAAAAAGATACACTATGGTTGTGATAAAAAAAAAAATAAAAAAATAAAATTAAAAAAAAAAAAGACTAGTTTCAGATGTATGACACAGTGATTCAATATTTTTAAAGATTATACCTCACTTGTTATTTTAAAATATTGGCTGTATTCCCTGTATTGTATAATATACAGCTTATTTACAGTATATACAGTAGTTTGTACCTCTTGGTTTCCTACCCCTCCCTTGACACTGTCCACTTCCCTCTCCCAGATGGAAATCACTAGTTTATTCTCTAAATCTGTGAGTCTGTTTCTGTTTTGTCATATTCATTTGTTTTATTTTTTTAGATTCCACATTTAAGTGATAACATATAGTATTTGTATTTCTCTAATTTATTTCACTAAGTATAATGCCCTCCAGGTCCAACCATGTTGTTGCAAAATAGCAAAATTTCATTCTTTTTTATGGTTAATATTCCATTGTATAAATATATGACATCTTCTTTATCTATTCATCCACTTATGGACACTTAGGTAGCTTCTATATCTTGGCTATAGTAAATAAAGCTGCCTGAACACTGTGGGGGGGGGGCATATATCTTTTTGGATTAGTATTTTCATTTTCTTTGGCTGTATACCCAGCAGTGGCATTCATTCAAACAGCAGTTCTATTTTCAGTTTTTTAAGGAACCTCCATACTATTTTCCATAGTGGCTGCATCAATTTACATTCCCACCAACAGTGCACTTGGGTTCCCTTTTTTTCATGTCCTTGCCAACATTTGTGGTCCTTTTAACAATAGCCATTCTGACTGGTGTGAGGTGATACTTCATGGTTTCAATATGCATCTCTCTGAGGATTAGCAATGTTGAGCATCTTTTCATGCGTTTGTTGGCCATCTGTATGCTTTCTTTGGAAGAATATCTATTCTTCCCATTGTTAAATTGGGTTCTCTTTTTTTTATACGAGTTGTATGACTTTATTAATAAATAGTTTGGATATTAACCCCTTATTGGTCTTATCAATTACAAGCATTTTCCCCATTCAGTAGGCTGTCTTTTCATTTTGTTGATGGTTTCCTTTGCTGTGCAAAAGATTTTAAGCTTAATTTGTTTATTTTTGCTTTTGTTTCCTTTGCCTGAGGCAATAGATCCAAAAAGATACTACTACAACTTATGTCAAAGAGTGTCCTGCTTGTTTTCTTCTGGGAGTTTTAATGGCTTCTGGACTAATATTTAGGTCTGTAATCCACTTCGAGTTTATTTTGGTATATAGTATGAGAAAATGTTCTAATTTCATTCTTTTACATGTAGGTGTCCATTTCCTGGCAACATTTATTAAAAAGGCTTTCTTTTCCCCCACTGTATATTTTTGCCTCCTTCATTGTAAGTTAACTGAACATAAGTGCATGGGTTTATTTCTGGGCTTTCTATTCTGTTCCATTGATCTATGTGTCTGTTTTTATGCCACTGTAGCTTTGAAGTTTTGATTACTTCAGCTTTGTAGCACATTCTGAAGTCAGGGAGTGTGAAACCTCCAGATTCGTCCTTTTTTCCAAGATTACTCTGGCTAGTCAGGGTCTTCTGTGATTCTGTATAAATTTTAGGATTATTTTATTGCTGTGAAAAATGTCATGGGTATTTTGCATTAAATATGTAGATTGCTTTGGATAGTATGGATATTTTTACAATATTAGTTCTTTCAATCCATGAACACTGGTTATCTTTCCATTTATCTACATAATTTTCAATTTCCTTCATTAGTGTTCTATAGTTTTCAGAGTATAGATCTTGTACCAGTTCTAGTTCTTGATGTTTTGCCTGTGATCTTTCTCTAAAGCTTCTGGGATCTTCTCTTTACTCATGTCCTCCAGCTCTGGGAAATTTTGACAATTTCCTCCCTTTTTCCTTTGTTCTCTATTTCTAGAACTCATATTAGTCAGGTGTTGGGTGTCCTAAATTTTATCTTTTTTCTCCTATTTTCCATCTCTTTATTCTATCTTCTGGAGGAGTTCAACTTTACATTTTAATCCATCAGTAGAAAACTTTCACTTTTGCAATCATATTTTTAACGACAAAGAGGTCTTTCTGTTCTCTCACTATTCTTTTTTCTTGGTTCTTATTGTATGAAAGCAACATTTTTTTGTTCTTTCTGAAGATATTGTTACAGTTGCTGTTGCAGTTTTCTGCTGCTGCCTGCATTGCCCCTATTTTTCCTAATTTTTTTTTTGTTTGTTTTGTTCATTTTGATCTTTTTCCTTCACAACAGGCTTCTTCAAATTTTTAATAATCACTGGCTATAGGTTCACATTTAAGCGTGAGGAACCAAAGAGTGAATTGGAGGTTCTATACAAGGTGACTGCTGACTGGCGAGTTTCACCATCTGCTTCAGAGTCAGGGCATCAGGCCATTTCATTGGGGGATCCTCCTGGGGTACTATCTGCAGGTCTTTGCTTTGGGTTATACAGTTTCTCCAAAGAAGAATCCGATAATCTCATGCCTAAGAAATATCAACCTGGCTGTCAACATCCTGGAGGCTGAGCTGTGGAGTGTGGGTTGGTAGCAGGCAGAATGAAAGTGAAGTGTCAGTCTCTCAGTCGTGTCTGACTCTTTGTGATACCATGGACTGCAGCCTGCCAGGCTCCTCCATCCATGGAATTCTCCAGGCAAGAATATACTGGAGAGGGTAGTCATTCCCTTCTCCAGGGGATCTTTCCAGCCCAGGGATCAAACCCAGGTCTCCTGCATTGCAGGCAGATTCTTAAACTTCCACTTGCTCCCCCTTCTTTCAGGGTAGAGCTTTGTCCCAGCCTCGGCTGTGCCAGATACCCCACATCCAGGCCCTCTCTGATGACTTCTCCAGAGAGCAAAGCTCCCAACTTACATCTGCTGGTATGAAGGAGGGGCCATGGGGCCCAACTGCTCTTTAGCAAGACCTTTAACTAATCTTTGCAAGCACGTTTTAAACTTGAATTCCTGAATCTCTCTAGATTTTCATGGCTCAAATCAGCCTCCTCTCCCACCAAATGCACAGAGATAGGCTTTTTGAGGCTTCTCCAATCTGCTCACCGCTCATTCATCCTGTCTTCAGTTTTCAAAATTTAACTGATGTTTCTTCATTCATTCGTTCGTCCTCAGTCATGTCCTACTCTTTGCCATCCCGTGGGCTCCCCTGTTCGTGGGATTATCCTGGCAAGAACACTGGACTGGAATGCCATGACGTTTCTAAGCTGCGATCATTGCCTGTTTCCTGCTGCCCTTCTGTGTTTATGCTTTCTTCATTTTCTCATGATTTTGGGGGAGGGGAGTTAGAGTGGGGGAAGACATTAGGAGATATGTATATACACTTCACGGGAGGTTAAATAAAAAGCCCTCACTGAAAATGTTTTGATTTTGTGTGACTAAAATAGAACAAAATCACTGCTATCAGAGAGATGTGACCGCTGCTGGCCAATTTGGTTAGAATAATCTCTGCTCCTGTACTCAGGAGCAAGCAGCACATATTACCTCCTCCGAAGGCGCAAAAGCTCTCAGGGCCAAGGCCTATAGCCTTTCGTGTGTCTGACGGGGTCTCTAAAGAAGGAGGCTCCCAACAGCACCTCTGCAATAAGACCCATAGCACTCCTTGTCGTTGGAAGGTAATTGTTCTACAGCATGAATCATCCCTAGATGACTTTCTTAGCCCCATGAACCCTCATGTTTTTCTGCCCATTTAGTCTGAGGGATTAGAGGAAGACCAGCCCCATCAGAAGTAAACTTCCTGTTCTGAGTCCAACCCTGTCATTGCACTGGCCTTGTTCTTCTTGCCTGTAGTTTTATCTGCCTCATATAGAACCTCACAAACACAAAAGAGGTGAAGAGTTGAGACGTATGTGCATGTGTCCTCAATTATTTTGATGAGGTAATGGAGGATAAACACTTAAATAAGTATCATAGTGAACAGAAAAGCAAGTAATGAATTCACTAGCATTTAACTATAAGAACATGAATTGTATTTTATAGTCATGTACAATTCCCTTAGGATTTAAAACTGCTTTCAAAGAAAACATTCTCCTCATTTTACATAGGATTAAATGATGCTCATAGAACTTACTGCAGTGTGTTCCAAATAGATCAGTAACTTTTTTAAAGTTTGAGGTTAGTAAGAATGGATATTTACAGGAGAAGTCAACCCTTTCTTTTGAATATCTTTCAGTTCTAAGCAGTTTGATTACTTCCATGTTTGGCTTCCTTTTGGATTTTCTAGCTTAAAGCAAAAGAGGATGGAAATGTGACAGATTTAAGATATAGTATTCCTTTTTACTACTAAATAAACATCCTGCCAATTTTTTTTTGCCTAACTTTTAAAAATTAATTTCTATTGGAGTATAGTTCCTTTACAAGGCTGTGTTATTTTCTATTGTACAGCAAAGTGAATCAGCTATATGTACGCATTTATCCCCTCTTTTGATGGATTTTCTTCCTATTTAGATCACCACAGGGCACTGAGTAGCACCCCCTGGGCTATATAGTGGGTTCTCATTAGTTACCTATTTTATACACAGTATCAACAGTGCACATATCTCAATCTCTCAATTCATCCCACCATTCTGCCTAATTTCGAGCTTAGTCTTTTTCTCTTGTCGATCTCTTTTGAGAGGTCATGTCAAAATTCCAAAAATCTTTTGAGACACACAACATGAAGCACATAGACAAATCAACAGCAGTAACACACTAGACCTACCTGTTAAAATAACACGTCACCACTGTCCCAGCTACAGTCATCTGTTGGCATGCAAGGATGAATTCACTAGTCCAGATGAGGCCAATTAAATGGTACCACCACATATACCGAATGCCCGAAAAAGGCTTATATTCCACTTGGCCACCTTCAATGACCTGTGCAGCTCCTAAAGTTTAAAACACAAACATGCTTTATATCTGTGTTTTCCTAAGTATGGAAGAAGGTTCAAGAGGCCATTCTTCCTCTGTTCTAGACTTTGGCATCACACGAAACACAGATGTCAACATCAAGTTTGCTTAAGATCTTCGTAGCAAAACTAAAATTGAGAACCCACATTTAACTTATGAATAATATTAACAGTGATGATTATCATAACTGGTAGGCAACTTGTATAAGATGACACTTATCTTCTAATAGTCACCCCACTTTACAGATATGAAAACTGAGGTTTGGAAGAGTCAAGTGACTTTTGCAAAGTCTCACTGCTCATAATTAGTGGAGGAAGAATATAGACCTGGACACAGTGGACTCTAAAACCCATGGTTTTTCTATCACAACACTTTGTGATGCAAACAAAACTTATGTTGATGAAAGTTATGTTATAGAACCCTGCCTAGGACTGTGTTATAGAATCCTGTGTTATAGAACCATGCTTCACCAAAAATTTAGACTCAATAAAGAATCTTAATTAGTTCAAAAGGATTCATTTCAGATTTCAAGAGCAAACTCTCCTACTACATTTAAAATGGCTAGTGGGTCTCAGTGTTAACCTCCTAGATTCAGATCTTAGCGTTATCCCTTTTTGGGTAGCCTGGCGCAAGCTATCTGGCCTCTTGGAGTGTTAGTATACTTATCTGTAAAACCCATTTCCCTGATGGTCATTCGAAAGAGAGTAGAATGGGTTTACCTGATGAGTACTGGCCCACAGAAATATCAGTCCATAAGTAATGATGATTTTTATCACTTACATTTCAGGAGCACAATATTATATTTAACTGAGGCCAGTGAGGTAACCCTAGCAATGCTCTGCCATTCACTGACCATGTCCTACTTTATTTGCTCTCATCTAAAGAAGTCCTTGAATTGGCTCTGCAATTCAACTCAATTCCATACCAAATCTCAGTTCTGCAACTATACTTGATTTCTAGATGTTCTCTGCTCTGTTTCATTTTATTATCATATTAGATTTTTTTTATGTGGACCATTAAAAAAAATCTTTATTGAATTTGTTCCAATATTGCTTCTGTTTTATGCTTTGGGTTCTTGGCAGTGAGGCATATGGGATCTTAGCTCCCCAACCAGGGATCAAACCCATACACCCTACATTGGAAAACAGTCTTAAGCACTGGACCACCAAGGAAGTCCCCTGCTGTATATTTTAAATAAACCACTATAAGAAAGAAGATGGCACTTTGGTCTCTGGCAAAACCTACAACTTGAAGAACATTTAAAGACAGTTTCATACTAATATTTCCTTTCATAGTTATAAATTGCTCCTAGGTTCATAATTCATATGTCTTTAGACATTCACAATAGGGTCTGGGCAAAGGAAGTGGGAAAGATAATCATGTTGTAGAAGGAACTGATTCCACAGACGAAGGCTGGTCTTAGTAACTCCTGCTCTGTGTTCTGCTGAGCAAGAGTCACATTGTGAGAAATACTAGATCAGCTTGGTTCACAGACAGAAGTTAATATTTTATTGAACACTGGATTCATTCTGGCTTGGAGGCAATCTCTGTTTCAGGTAAGGCGCTAATAAATGCTTAAGCATTTCCAAGATGGATGTGTTTCAGAAAAGCACTCCCAGTCCCAAAGGAGGTGGCCCCTCATGACTGACAGGCACATGTATGTAGTAAATCAGGTGAGTGGAGACTTGGAGAGCCACTCCTGGAACAGCAGAAGTGATGGGGCCAGTCAACACGCACGAGATCACCAGTGACGGGGACACACTGCAGTTTGCAAGCACAGGTCTGCAATATCACATGTGATTTGGGGATGGATGAAGTTTCCAAAGAAGAGGAGGGACGATTTCCTCCACAGACAAAAGGCAAGTACATACAAAGGCCTTGGGTGCTAAGGAGGGATTGTGTCTCCTTGGGGCTGCCAATGGCACGTTCACACACACCCCAGCTTGGCATGCTGATGGCAGCAGTCAGCAAGCAGAGGATGGCTAAAAGGGATACATCAAGAGCCGTACAGGCCGCCACACTCCTGGCATTCCTCAAAGCAGCAGGCTGAGTAAAGATATTCTTGACTGGCCACTTGTTTTTGATCATCTTTACTGAAACCATCGACTATTTATTCTTCTAGTTCAGTTATACCAGGCTATTTACAGCCTTTCCTTTAGGGCAGGGTTTTTCAACCTCTCAACATAGCATTTGGCATTTTGGATCACATAATTGTTAGGGGTGTGAAGTGGGGGAGTTGCCCTATGCATTGCAGGATATTAAGCAACTTTCTTGGCCTCTACCCATTAGATGCCAGGAGCATCTTCCCTGCCCTCCTCCAGCTAAGACAACCCAAATGTCTCTAAACATCATCAAACTGCCGCTTGATATCCACAGCTTTAAGCAAACATTCTCTGAAGAAGCAGGAGCTCTAGCTTGAGGGAGAAGCTTAAAACACGACTGTGGGTGGGGCGGGTGTGTTTAGGCACACACGACTGCCCTCTCCTGGATGGCTAGGTTAGTGCAGGCTAGAGCCTCCCATCAATGTATCAGTTGCTTTGTTATTAATACTAACACATTACAATACTGTTACCACCATGTGTAGCTAACAGATGCTAACGGGAACTGGATCCCAAGATGAGATTTGATCTGGATCCCAAGATGATTTTGATCTGGTGGTGAAAACAGCACTGAACTGGATGAGGGCCTGGTTCCAATCTCGGCCTTGACATTTGTGATAAGCAACCTGGGCCTCCGTTCTCTAACTGCAAACGTGAAGAGGGAAGACAAGATGAACCCGGGGCAGCGGTTACACAGTCTGACAGTCACACAGACTGAGATTCATATCTCTCTTCTGTCTCCTAATGGCTGAACAACCTCAGGCAGGTTATGAGGTTGTGGGGCCTTTTAAAATCTGTTTCATTGTCAGTAATCTGAAGATACTAATACCTACTCTTCCTTTCCTTGTTGATTCCATCCAGTCTCATGGCTCTAAATGCCATACATGTAGCTGTTATGAGGATTAAACAGGCAGTTGCTTAGAATATTAAATACAAGATAAGATTAGCTATAATTGAGGTATAAGCAGATATGATTTCAGTTGAGAAGAAATATTTATTTAGCATTCTAGATTTATGCTGGACATCAGCTATTAAGGGAAAAAAATGAAAAAGGCAAACAAAAAAATCAGAAAGAAGATACAATCAGAGTGAATATCAGGAACTCACATGCTGCTACACTAGTTTATTCACCTCCCCTTCTTCTGGACTGTTTATAATCTCTCCTCCAATCTCTAACTAAGAGTTATTTTCCTATCCTTATGCTCAGTCAGTGACCTTACTTTTGGTTTCTCTGAGAAAGCTGAAGCCATGGGAGAATCTCTGAGAGCATCTACCCCATCTCTACCCCTCAGCAGCATGCGTCCATGACTAGACTGCTGCTGCTGCTAAGTCGCTTCAGTCGTGTCTGACTCTGTGCGACCCCATAGACAGCAGCCCACCAGGCTTCCCCTGTCCCTGGGATTCTGCAGGCAAGAACACTGGAGTGGGTTGCCATTTCTTTCTCCAATGCATGAAAGTGAAAAGTGAAAGTGCAGTCGCTCAGTCATGTCCAACTCTTAGTGACCCCATGGACTGCAGCCTACCAGGCTCCTCCGTCCGTGGGATTTTCCAGGCAAGAGTGCTGGAGTTGGGTGCCATTGCCTTCTCCAATAACTGGACTACCCCACCTTAATCTGATAAACTGTCCGTGATTCTAAGGTCAGCCCCTGCACTAGATTCCCTTTCTCATCTACTTGAAGATACCACTTCAGAAAATTTCCCTCTCTTTCTTGCTTCCTTAAAATATTCTGACTGAATCACTTTTAACAATTTTATATCTTAAAACCCCCACTTCTGAGCTCCCTTCACGCCTCCGACTTCCTTCCTGCTTCTCTGTTCCTCTTCACAGCCAAATTTCTCGAGGTTGTCTCTTACTCTTTCCAATTCTTTTTCTCTTTCCCTTAAACCCACTCTAATTGTGATCCACTCCCCCACACTGCTCTGAAACTGTTCTGTTTCACTTCCATGCTGCTAACTTCAATGGTCAATCCTTAGCTCTTATCTGACTGATCAGCAGCATATGACACATTCAACATTTCACCCCAATTCCGTACAGAACGTTATTCTCCTGCTCACTGGTTGCTCCCTTTCAATTTCCTTTCCTTTTTCTTCCTCATTTCCAAGACCTCTTAACATTGACATGCCCCAAAGGACAGTCCTTGGATTTCTCTTCTGTCTGCACGCATTCAAATCTCATGGTTTTAAATACTATTCATGTGTTGCCCAGTTGCCAAATGTAGACCTCTAGCTGGGTCTCTCCAGAAACTTCAGACTCAAACCGTTAACTCCCTACCCAACATGTCCACCTGTGTCTAAAAGATATTTCAATCAACACAATTAAAAATGAATTTTTGCTCTTCCTGGAAGATGTTCCACTCTAAGTCCTGTCCTGTCTCAGCTGATGGCCATCTCATCTTCCAGTTGCTCAAGCTAAAAAAACCTCAGTGTCATCCCCAACTCCTCTTTCACATTCTTTATCTAATATCAGGAAATTCTTCAAAATAGACACAGAGCCTCTACGTTACAGCATGTCCACCATTACAACCCTGTTCTAACCCACTAACACCTCCTCCCTGAATCACTGCAATGAAAATGTGAGTCAGACCATGCTACTCTGCAGCTTAAAATGCTGCAATGACTTTCTGTCTCAGAAACAAAGTTCTGTAACGGCCCACGAGGCCCCAGGATCTGATCTTGTGCTCCCTCTGACCCTGGCCTGAACCATGCTCCCCCCAACCACACTACTCTGGGGAGCGGCCTCCTGTGTCCCCAGAGTCTCTTCCTCGCTGTCCCCTTTGCCTAGAACACTTCCCCTCCTTTACACAGACTCACGGCTCTGCCCTCACCTCCTTCAAATCTTTGCTCACAATTATCTTCTCAACAAGGCCTTCCCCAATCAT